CTCTGATACGAGGGCAGAGGTCTATCACTGAACCCAGAAGGCCAAGAACACCATCGGGGCAGAATGATACCCAGGAAGATGGTGAGCAGCCGTCTGATTTTGTGCATTTTAAAATTTTTGGTACTCAGGATCAAACCCAGGGCTCTGTGCGTGCTAGGCAAGCACTCTACCTCTGAGCTACACTGCCCAGGCCTTTTGCTATTCTCTTTGGAGCCAGAGTCTTCTAAGTCACTTGCCCGGGTTGCAGTCCTCCTGCCTCAGCTCCCCAGTAGTTGTGATCAGAGGCATTTGCCGTCACACCTGGTAGTGTGCCTTTTGGGATGAGTCTGTGGATTCCATCATAGAATGCAGGGGCGGGTGCCCACCTGCCAAACCTGCAGGGACACAGATGGAAAGGGTGCAGTCTGGAAGGATGCCCCGAGAAGGGGTGGACAGGGAAGCCATTCATGTCTGCGCGGCCAAGGTGAGAAGGGAAAGTTGCCCTGAGCACCAAGGTGGAGGCTGATAATTGGATTCAATTCCATGGCTGAAATCCGCTACAGCAGAGCGATTCAAGCCACGAGGCCCTTGGGATTGCAGTCCTGGAATTAATGTGGTTGGTGTCCTTCTGAGGGCAGTGTGACGGGCAGCGTCCTGGCCAGCCCTGGCCAGCTTCCTGCCCCACCAGAGGAGAACCATCCTTCCTCCATCCCAGCTTGCCTCATTCCCTTCTTAGGGCTGACCTTTGGCTAAGCTATGAACTTGATGCTGGGGATTCAGAGATGCAAAGGAAAGGAAACATAGAGACAGGAGGATTGCAAATTATGAGCCTAGCCCGGGCCACTCATCTGGGCAAGACCCTGTCTCAAAATAAAGAAGGGAAGAGGGCTGGGGATATAGCTCAGCGCAAAGGCCCTGGCTTCCAGCCCAGTCCAGAGGGGATACATACACTGTAGCCAACAGTACAGGTCAGTGAGGGCAGGAGCGGAGGCTTGGGGTCGAGTCCTGGCCCTGAGGGACTAGTTGCTAACTGTGTGACCCGGGACAAGTGACTGCGCCTCTCTGAGCCTTGGCTTTTGAATCAGCAATGTGCAGCACTGTAAAGAGAAAACTACTGAACTGACATAAATACTTTAGCACGGGGTCAGGCTTCCCTGGAGTGCTGAGCAGAGGTTGACGCAGTAACGATTATAAAACTCAGGCTCCCCTAGAAGGAGCCCCCTTCCTGTCTCCCATGACCCAGCTGATTGCTTAGGGTTGAAACGCAAACTCTGTCATCTGCTTATCCTTTACTCTAGACATGCTTTGTGAGGCTTCTAGGTACAAGGATGGCACTCTGGGGCGAGAAACTGTGACCCCAACAAAGTAGCTTCACCTGTCCGAGCCACCGTCTCTTCATTTAGGAAAATGGGCAAAAACCCACCCGTCTTACTTATGGCGCAGTTTCTGAGGGCCCTGCAGGCGTGTGCAGACGCGCAGGCGGGTGTGTGTACGTGCATGTGCGTGCACGTGTGGAGTGATTATTAGAATGCAGGGCGAGGCTGACCCGCTGGTCCAGATGGAGGCTGGACTGGAGACCTTGGCCTCCTTAGAACCCGCCTTCAGGCCAGCAAACTGAGCCACCTGGATCCGCTCCGCCCTGACACGTGGTGTTTTAACGTGCCAGCTCCGGGTGCAGAAGGTGCCAGAGGCCCCTGGATTTTAACTGCATCCGCTGGCCACTTCCTCCTGGGACGGAGGGGTGGCACTGTTTCTAGGGTAGTTATCACTTTTCCCAAAAACAAGCACCCCACCCCCGAAGCACAGGAAGGCTGTTTTCAGTAGGCAAGGAGTGCCATGCAGGAGATGAGGCTGTCGCCGGTACTTCGACACGGGCTCTGGGCTTAGGGAGCCTCGCTGTCCCCGCTGGCCAGGGTCTCGGCTGTTTGTCCAACACCCAGAAAGCCTGAGCTGACCCCCACCCCAGACAGAGCCTGGATGGAGAGGTCACTGGGAAGATAAGCTTTCCCATGCCAGCCTGACCTAAAAGTCACCTACTCAAAGGACACTGGTTCTTTGGGTTCCCAATTTGTGATTTGGGACAGTGATTTTTAACTAAGCCTCTATTTCAGCCCTTAGGAGGCAGTTTGACAATTGGTGGAGCACTTGGGGTCACCGTGCTGGGAGGATTGATCCTGACATAGAGGGGAGAGGTGACCATAGGGTGGAGGATGTGCTGTAAAGCCAGGGGCAAGCCCACAGAAGTCAAAACGGTCCTGAGGGCCAAACAGCCTGTATGGTGACAACAGACCAGGCGGAGAACTCAGCTATGTCCTTAATATACACCGAGTCTTCCAGGCCCACCAATCCAGAAGCAGGTAACCCAAGGGGAGATTGACGGGCCCATTGTTTAATCAGGAGCTATTCACCACTTTGGAAAAATCTCGTCACCAAGGCGACAATGCTGGTGGCATTTGAGTTGCCAAAATAACACACCTGTGTCCTTCTGCATGTGACTCTCTCTCCTGCAGCAATTCTGTGTTTAGGTGCAAACGGCTGACCCTACCGCTGGAGCAAGGCCACAGGGCCAAAGTTCAACAGCAGGGGTGCCCCTTAGGCTTTAGGTGTGCCCGCTTTTTATAAGTTACAGTTAGGACATTAAATGGATGAAAAAATAGCCAGTGTGACTAGGTTATGTTATCCCCAAATTGGCTTCTGCATAGTAAATGGGGCATCTAAAAGTATGTGTTAACCAAGAGAGGGGCTTTAATTCTAACACAGGTTCAAGTCACTGAGCTAGGGGGATAAGTGCTATTTGTCATCAAAACTGTCACTCATTCTTGGAACCGCCCACCTGAGTGGCGGTTCCCAGTGTCCTGGACTTCCCTGGGCGACTTCCTCCCAAACCTCACCTTCCCCAAAGCAGGTCTCTCTACGGCTTTGGGGTGCAGACAGAGGTCAGGTGCCTATGGGGAGGGGCTCCGCTCACACCAGCTACGACAGCACCCCATTCCATGTCCTCTGAACTTCTCGGCACAAGTGGTGAGGAGCGACAGGGAGGGCAGAAGCGGGCCGGGAGGCAAAGTCATGCCCAGGGCGGTCTTTGGGGGTGTTTCTCATTGCCTCTTGGTGCAGGGCCACGGCAGTCAGTTCTGGGTCCAGCATTACCCCAGCACTGAAATCCGCCGGCCGAGACTCCGGAAGCCTGGTGGGTGTTAGGAGCCAAGCGAGGCTTGAGCAGGCTATTTCTTCTGGGGGCACTACCCTAGGAACCCCAAGAAGAGGCAGCTCCCCTGGCAATGCAGCTCTGGCCTGGGAGGGCTGAGGCGGTCACAGAAGCATGAGGACTCTTAAGTTTTGCCAATGAAGACTGATCCCGGCTGCCCATCTGGATCTATGGACATCCAGGGCCCCATAGATGCCCCAAGCACCTGCCCCATCGAAAGGGTCCCACCATGCCCTCTGACTCTCAAGGTACCAAGACACTCAGCTTGTCCCCAAGGAGCTTGTAGAGGGTAAGGTAGGGGGCAGCAGCTCAGAGCGCAGTGAGGAACCCTTGTTCCCACTCTGCCCAGGGGCCCCTGATGCAGCCTCCATCTTCCTCCTTGGGGAGCTCTGTGATCTTGTTAGAATGGACTCAATTTTTGCTACGTGTGAGAAGCCAAAAAAAAAAACCTCTAGGATGGAATGGTGGACTGAAGCAGGCTGCGATAAACTGAGAACCATCAAAGGGCACTTCTGGACTTGCTTCATCACAGAAAACAACAGGATCCCATGGGGTTCCTTCAACAAGCCAGGTGTGCTCCTACCCCAGGCCCTTTGCACTGGATAGTGTCCATACACAGAATGTTCTTTCTCCAGAAAACTGCCAGGTTCCCTACCTCCCTCTAGGTCTTCAAACATGGCCTTCCTACTGAGACCAGCCCTAACTTCCTTATTTAAAATTCTACCCTTAATGCCTCTGATCCCCTTGCCCACTTCATCTGTGTAGCACGTATCCCCAACACACTGTATGTTACTTATCTTGTTTATTGTTTTCTCAACTGCAGTGCAAGCTCCCGAAGGTCAGCGAGTTTATCTATCTCATGCATCACTGCCCCTCTGGGACCTGAACAGGCCTGGCACTTGGTAGGTTCTGCAGAAGTTTTTGTCGAATGAACCACACAGGGTCTGGGCAGCTCCTTGAATCCAGCCCCCAAGGGCGTCCTGGAGATCTCTGTCCGATGCTCTGGGGACAGTGCAGGATTCCAAGGGAAGTGGTTGGGAAATGTTGGTCTCAGACCTGTGCCCCAGCTTGGCAGCATGGGGAGCTGAGGTCACCGCCTGACCCATGCCAAGGTGGAAGGGGTAGAGAGGGTCTCCCCTTCTCATGTCCTGACCCCACTCCTCACCGACCACCTGGCCCAGCTGCCAATCCACCCCCCCGCCCCGAACCAGAAAGTGCCAGTGGAGCAAACACAGAGGGGCTGGCGCCCAGCTCTTTAGGTTCGAGCCTCAGCGCCCACGTCATCCCAACAAAACTGCTGCCCCGGGGGTCAGGACCAGTCCTGCACTTTGACTGTCTCCCTTGGGGGCGGTCCCTGCCCTCAACCATGAACCAGGAGACCCCGCGTGTGCGGCCTAGAGCTCAGCTCTTCCCCTCTCCCCACAGCCTGGGCATGAGCCACATCCCCGAGGGCACTTGCGTCTCCCATCGTCAAGGTGACCTTGGGACACCGCCACCCCTACCCCAGCTCTCTGTCTCATCGCTTGTGAAATGTGGATCACAAACAGTACACGTTCTGGGGGACCTGGAGGGACAAAGGATGGAGACACAGTGCTCCCCTCCATGACCATCAGTTAGCTCTGTGATCGTGCTAAGAGTCAGTACCTCCTAAATGTCATGCCTGTTTGCGTCCCGTGATGGGGGAAAGGTGTGTGAGTGCGCATGCATATAAACTTGTGGGCTGCCTTCCAGATCGCCCGGCGGCTGGTGGCTGGGTCTCAGCACGAGCCTGTGCCTGGACATGCGCGCATGCGCACACCTGGGGTGGGGGGCTTACCTGTCCACCTGGACTCCGGTGTCTTTCATGTCTACCTTGGCAGGTGCCCCTTTGTTGCCCCCGCTGGTGAGGAGGCTCAGCACAGGCTCTATCTCTCTGAGCAGTTCATTGTGCTCCCTGCTCCCCTGGGCACTGACTGTGGCACTTTTCTTGGCAGGTCCCTTGCTTGGGGTGCGGGGAGCCAGGCCGTTGGTGTGGGAGAGCAAGCTGGATTCCTGCCCGTTGTCCTGGGCATGCTGAGGCCCGTTCCCAGGCCCCGTGGCCCCATCCACTGCCGGAGCCTGCTCTTTGCTGGCCAATGGTTGGTGGGACAGATCCACGGCTTTGGTGGGGGCTCCCAGGGGTTGTGTCACTCGGATGGTCTTGGGGGTCCCATCCCCCGTAAAGGTGGTCTCCAGGTGCGTCGTGAAACCCTCGGGGCCCCTCAGGATGAGAACCACGTGGGTCTCGGAGGCGATGCCCCTGAGCACCTCTAGGGCACTGTCGTAGCTCAGGTCCACCAAGGGCCGGCCATTGACGGCAAGAATGATGTCCCCGGCCTGGATGAGGCCACTCTGCTCGGCGGCCCCGCCTCGAATCAGATCAGAGATGATCACGGGTGGCTTGCTGACCCGTTCCTTTACCAGGAACCCCAGGCCCCCGACTTTCCGCTTGAAGAGCCGCACAGAAATGACATTGGGTTGGATCTGCTGGACACCAAACACGTGATCTTCCATGGTGTCTGCTGTCCAGAGGTCCTGTCTTGTAGCAAGGCAAGACGATTTCACAGGAGGAGTTGGGCTTCAGGCCGCGCTGGAGGAGAGCAGGGCAGACGGGAGCTGCAGACAGGCGTTTCAGCCTTCGGTGTTTGACGTCAGCTCCGCATCACCTCTCACTGTCATTTGGCCGTTGGTGGCATGATGTCATGCGTCTGCCTCCTTTCTGTCCTCCAGGAAGCGATGGTTGATCAGGCAGATGTCAGGAGAACTGTCCCGTGTCCCTACGCAACAGGTCAGGCCGAGCAGGAGGAGGAGTGTCTGGTAGACGCGTCTAGAAGTGACGCATGATCGATGTGGGCAATTCTCCGAGCATCCTGGTCACCAGCCTGTTAGACAGAGATGAGATCTGGGCTCTGGAGCTGCAAAGAAGGGAAAGGGAAGGGAGGACCAGAGGGGGAAAGGGAGAGAGAGATTGAGGTAGTACATCCAGCAACGCCTTCAAAACTGAGATGAAACATGCAGCAAACGGACTAGTGGGGCCAGGAGACACTTGGAGCTTGGAAGCCAACCTGGAACCACAATCCTTTTTCAAGAGGATATTGTTCCCAGTTAGCTACAGATTGCCTGCTTTCACGCCCATGATCAGAGCCCTCAGAGAGCGAGGGATCTCTGGGAAACCGTGACCGTCAGCCCCAGAAACCAAATGCTAGCACCCTTTCCTGGCTCCTCCTCGCTGCTGAAGCCTCTACACCAGTTTCTCTCACAGCCTAACGCAAACGTTTTCTGGTCACAGTGCAGGAACTCAGCTGGTGTGGATCTTTGAACTCCCCATTCCAGCCCCCGGGACTCCCACAACAAACCTCTGGAATAAGAATGATCTCTGCTTTCAGGGGTCCATGGCTGGGGATGTCAGTTTGCCTTCATAACCATGACTAGCTTTTATCAGGTTCAACAATATACACTTAGCCACATGACAAACATTAACAACACCAAGGAGATGAGAGATTACAAACTTTTGGAAGACATTTGTACCCCCCAAATCACCTGAGACCCTGACGGCAAACATCAGGAAGAGTCAACTTTGCACCTGTAGGATTAATACAGGCACTTAATAGGTGCTCGGTGGTTGTTGGTTGAAGAATAAAAAATGGCAAAGAGTAAACGGTTATTGAGCACTTTATACTCTTATTAAATATTTTCCTTTCCTTTGATCTTTGCAATAACCCCTCAAAAGACATGGAGACCAGAGTTTGGGAAAATTCAGTTCCTTGTCCAAGGTCACCCAGAGAAGCAGGCCAGAAGGAAGACTTGGAATTGAGTCAGCTCCACTCTTGAGCATGAGTCTTGAAACTTATACACTAGTTATTTAAATTGTATAGTCTAATTGTTTTCTTGATTCCTAAATTTGCTTCCCCAAATGCAGTCAATGCTCAAGTCATTCATCCCCCAGGCAGGGATGGGGGTGTGGCCAGGGTACCCCAGGCCAACAGGGGCCCCACTGCTGGAAACCTTCAGTGGCCTGGTAGAGATATTTGCATGGGGGACTGAGCACCTGGGGAGCTCCGTAGCATCTGGCACAACTTGGCTGGGGCAGGAGAGCTGTGACTGGTTGGGAGTGGAGGTGGGGGACATCGGAGAGGCCCCTCATCTCTTTCCCTTCCCTCTCTCCAGCTCCCAGGTCCATCTCTGTCCCACACCCCTTCCTGTGTGCAACGCCACCTGCTCCAGCACAAGGAGGGAGTCCCCACCTGTCAGGACTAACAAAGGGACACTCCTCCATTTCCCTTTGAGTGACTTCCCGGAGGTCACCCAGGGCTGAGGCAGCTGATAGGCTCCTACTACTGCCTCTGAGAGCAGGAGGTGGATGCTGAGACCCCTCTGGGCCCGCTACAGGAGGTGCCACCTGCTAGATCCCCTCAAGGGAGGGTGGTGAGCATCTTGGCAGCTTGCATTATGTAACTGCATCAGCCCCTCTGTGTGGGTGGGGGAATAATGAACCCCCGGGCCCGGCCCAGCCTGAGATCTCCATCTGGCGTCACTCTGTGTGTGTGTTTCTCTCTGTGTATTCATGCATCACCCTCACGCTGTGTCTTTTCTGTGCTGTGTGTGGCCCGAGTATCAGCCGGCTGAGTGTCTTCCAGCATCTTGCTGCTGAGGCTCTGCAGTTTACGGAAACCCCCCAGGACTCCTGTGCCTTGGCTCACTGGGGAGAATCAACCTGCTTCTGTTTGCCTGTTGAATTTTCCCTGAGCCCTGTTCTTCTGCAGACTGAGCCCAGGTTGCTGATTGCTTATTTGGGACCGGAGACAGCTGGGCTGTCTAGAGCTCTCTCAGGTGTCCAAGTGTGGACACCTGGGCTCTGATTTTTCATGGAAGAATGTACTTGAACATGAACTCTTGGGGATGCAGAGACCTAAGCTCTTTTCTTCTCGATGCTGGTTTGGGCCAGACCTTAGCAGAGGACAGAGACTGGACTTTGGTGTATTTTGCTTAGGAGACAAGAAAACACACACACACACACACACACACACACACACACACACACACACAGAGAGAAAATAGTCTGACTTACAGATTCTCAATGCGTTTCACTGTCAATCATAATCTTAATAACGATCCTATGAGATTTCATCTCTTCTTTTCATTTGCAAACAACATCCTCACCCACCATCATTTTTCCCTTGTCCTAACCAGGGTCAGGGTCAGCTCTTCCCATGTGACAGATACATAAATTAAGCCATGGCAGGGACGGCCACTTTTCCCAGTTTATGGATACCCAGTTTTGATGAGCCTCCTCAGGTCACCCTCCCACCACCAGAAGATTTTAAGGTCCTTGTGTTTCTAGGTGAATTCCTGGTTTGCTCTGAACCTCAGTTTCCTTATCTGTACGATGGGGTCATTAGTCAAAAACCATCTCTCTGAGCACTGAAAGATTCAGTCACAGAGGTGAATTCAGAGAACCTAAGAATGTCACGGAGTTAATGTTCAGAAACTCGGTTGCCTGTTATTGTTACATAACGCGGCATGATGTGGGCTTCCTGGGTTTTGATTCAATGCACTTTCTGCTGTGCCGCGTCCCCACCAAGCGGTCATTCTGCACCATCCAGAGAGGGAGCCATCCCTGGAAATCGCACCGAGGCACCGCACCCTGGCCGGGGCGGTGGGTGCACCCACGGGAAGACGGGAGCTGGCAGAGCAGCCTGCCAACCCAGCCTCCGCCCTTTGGAGCTGGGATTTGAAGCAAGTCACATGAGCGCGCGTGCCAAAGTACATACCATGGAAACAACACTTGGACTTGAGCCTCTTTCGAGTACGTGAGCGGTTTCGGGGATATTTATTTTGTTTACCTTGCTGCGGGGAGATTAGTGGCTGACTACTGGGGATGGCTGCCAGTGAGAAGGAAGGAGCCAAGAGAGGCCGGTGTGATGCCACCTCCTTGCTGTGACCTTGGGTGCGCTACTCTCCACCAGGACCTCGTTTCTGCAAGCGGAGGGCTGCGAATGTCAGCGTTTCTGAGAGATTGATTGTGTGCTCAGCCTGGTGCCAAGCCCTCTGCACGGGTGTCTTTTTTAGTTCTTAGAGTCGCTGTATGAATTCAGTGCCATTTTTATCACTATCTTGCAGGCAGATGAGGTGGAGGAGGTTAAGAAACATTCAATGAGGGTGTAGATAGCCCTGGGGCTCAGTGTGGATGCTGAACCTTCTCCATTGTCAATCACAACCCTAATGATGATCCCACAACACTATGCCTCTCCTTCCTTTACTCCCCCACCCCCACCAAGGTGCAGATCAGCTGGCACCTTTTCACCCACACGTGGATCCAGGTCATAGTAATTCCCATCTTACAGATGAGGTGGCTATGCTGCTCTCAGGCTACATGTTTATCCTGGTTTGTTATGGCTTCCCATTCCTATCAGATGAAGACTAACCTGAAGAGGAATCTTTGAGATCTCCAGTCTGATTCCCTCACTCAAAAAAGAGAAACAGAGGCCTGGGGAATTGAAGTATGACCAACGGTGGCTGTATGATCCAGAGAGATGGGGTCCAACATGGCAGCTGCTCGCTACAGATGACCAACGACCACCTTACCAGTGGCTGGACCACCTCAGCTGAAGTTGAGAGGCACTGGAGAAGCAAAGCACAGCTCAGCTTTGAAAGATTAGAAAGGAAGAGAATGTGCAACATGCTGACCCTATGTGGAAACGATACTGTTATGGACACATTGGGGTAAACAAAACCATTATGAAAAAAAAATTTTTTTGTAGTACAGGGAGGGGCTTGCACATGTTAGACAACTGGTCTACCACTGAGTCACACCCCTAACCCTCGCCTCGCATCACTCCAGTGTGACTACTCTACAGTGGGTAAGAGCCCATGGCTCTTGCTCCATGGGCACTGGGCACTGCGGGTCTAAGCCACGACTACTGATCTACTGTCTTCTCCTGTGCTCTCTGAATTCTATCCTACCGTCCTTCCAGTCCCTGTTGGAATCTACTGATATGTTATCCAAGCACAAAATGCCTCCTAAACTTTTATATTCTAAGGAAACCAGAAAAATGACCAAGTTTGTAGCTGCCTTGCCATTTTTGAGGTTGGCCATTGAGAAGCAGTGCATGATAGAATGCTCACTTGGCACCCTATGGGGTGATGCCACGGGAGGGTGTGGCCCAGACTAATTGTCCAGCAGCCAGAATCCTGCCTTCCATCCTGAGAACAGCCAATGGGTCATTTAAATAAGTGAGGATCTCTATTCTCAGATAAAGAGTCAGCTCCACGATATACCATTAGGTGGAAAAAAAGGTGCAAATGGGTAAATTCTTCACCTGTAAAGGCAGCAATTATTCCGAAAGGAGCAGATATGAATGGCTGCATCTTACAAGGTGCCTGAAGTAGGAGGGAGCCATACTTGGCACTGAATGCCTTTTTTCCCTACTCGAATATCATGCAAATTATTTTTTAAATCACACATGCATCCTTTCAAATGCACAATATTAAAGAAAACAAAACCCAGCCTGCATATGAACTCTCGGCTGTTTGCAGTTTGTACACCTACAATATTGCTCGTGGGGTTATGGCCCCCTTCCCATCTCCCTCCAATCTCATTTCAAAACAAATTCCAAGTTCTCCAAGTCTTATAAGAAACAAAATAAAATACTGCCATCCCCCACACAAACAAAAGCCTGAAAGCGTAAACCCAACTGTGCTCCTCTTAAAAAAAAAAAAAAAAAAAAACTATACCCAAAACAATCAACTTCTTTAGATCTCTTGAACAGCTAATTTGCAGCCTTCCCCCGAGGAAGCACCACCCAGGAATCAAGTTGAAGTGCTTTCTCCCACACCAGTTAAGTCATAGCTAAGAACGTGCCAACCCCCTGCAGGGCAGGGGAGTAAGTCAGCATCTGGTGCTTCGGGGATCCCA